AAATGTCTGTTCGTCTGGGTCTCCAGATTCTGTTCTTGGCTTATATACCCTTACCTCCTCCCAGTATATCACTAAGTCTGCTGCTCTAGCTATATCCTCCCTGTAAGGTCTGAAAACAAACTCTTGCTCTGAGTCGATCACCTCTCCGAGTGACACTCTGCAGCATCGCCCACTCCAGCGCCTCACTCGCACTCCTTGATCGCTCAACTCCAGCGGGACAGGCCCGTAAGCAAGGAAGCGCTCATATAAATACATCTGCAAAAACCCAGTCGCCACATAGGACACCATGGGGTATCGACCAACTGAGCGTGCACTATCCTCTGCAATCATGTCCAGCCGATGGTACAATGTTCCCAAGAATAATGGCCCCAAGGGGATCGCCACTCCACTTGCGAAATTCACCGCAATTAGGCACCATCGACTTAAAGGTGTATCATTTAGAGTGCCTGGGAATACATACTTAGATAGCCAGCACAGTACATTCACTGCGAGCTCTGTCGGGTGCCTAATCTTGTCCCCATCGACAAAAGGACTCTCTGACTTCTCTCCCTTGAAGGCTGGCTGCAAATCTTTGAACCAATAACGTATCCATGCCCCTATCGTGCTCTTCCTTGCTCCCTCTGCCCTTTCATCGCGTTTTGCTCCCTTTGTGTTGTAGAAGGATCCATAGTTTTTGGTCTTTTCCAATCCCTCTTCCAGCGCAGCCATTATTCCTTTCTCGGCTGCATCCATCGCCAAGGGGACTGTAAAACCCCAACCCATGACATGTAGCCCAAGCAATTGGGCCACATCCTCTAGCGTGGTTGTAAACTCCCCCCACTTAGCCACAAAGGTGTGTGTTGCACTACACCACCTTGATACCAATAAGTCCAACCCTGGCCCATCTCAGGGCACTTTCAACTTCCGGGATAGATGCATGGCTTGTGCAACTCGTGCTTGCCGGAGCCACTGTACATACATAGCGTGACTGAAAATGTGCTCAGACCACTCCTCCCAACCTGTACATGGCCCCACCGGTGTCTTGAACTCAATAAAACAATAAGGATACATCCCTTGTTCAATGGCAAGCCGGTGTACACAGTCCGCCGACGGCAGGGCACTTGTTTCCACGGCGGCTTCTTCTTCCATCAATTAGGCTACCCCGCTGTCAATCTCGTCTCTGGCCATGTCTCACGTCGCTGTCCAGAATCTATCCACTGGTCCAAAGAACGGAGCACGCTTCCATTCCCCTTCCGGTGGTACTTCCGGCACTGGTTCACCGGTTTTACTCAACTGTTTTCTCTTCGTCATTTCCTCAAACACCCATACTGCTCCTGCACCAATAGTCTGGTCACTCTTCCACAGTTCTGTTGTCACAGCCCCACGTCAACACCTTCCTTGCATTGTATTTTTTTTCCTCTGTTTGCAACACTCTTCTTGTCTCTGAACTCGACCTTTATATAAACAATTAGGGTTTTGTTTTGGGGAAGACGACGACACTCAACAGCCGTGTCTTATCATTTTCCCATTAAATGTTTAACCGCCAAAACCACCACGCCGTACTGGTTTCCAACACCATTAATCTCCACGCCTTTATGCACGCGCCGTTTTTATTTTCAAAATTCAAAATTCAAAACGTCACGTGTAGGGGGGCTAAATGTGGACGTGGTTCAGCCACGTCACCAAAGGTCAAATCAAATAGTCAACACTTTGACAAGATCCACCTCAGTAAGGTGAGCAGTAGTCGACCATTGGGCCTCAATCTTTGAACCAAACATTCGGTCGATGGATCCTAGGCCTTGAACCACGAGCCATCTCCGCAGTCTATCGACGGGCCTTGAACCTCGATCGAACCCCATCACAATTCGTCGATCGACAGGTCTTGAACCTCGATCCGACCCCATCACAATTCGTCGATCGACGGGCCTTGAACCTCGATCCGACCCCATCACAATTCGTCGATCGACGGGCCTTGAACCTCGATCCGACCCGATCACAATTAGTCGATCAACGGGCCATGAACCTCGATTCGACCTCATCACAGTTGGTCAATTGACGGGCCTTGAACCTCGATAGGACCCCATCACATTTTGTCGATTGGTGGGCTTTGAACCTCGATCCGACCCCATCACAGTTGGTCGATCGACGGGCCTTGAACCTCGATCCGACCCCATCACAGTTGGTCGATCGACGGGCCTTGAACCTCGATCCGACCCCATCACAGTTGGTCGATCGACGGGCCTTGAACCTCGATCCGACCCCATCACAGTTGGTCGATCGACGGGCCTTGAACCTCGATCCGACCCCATCACAGTTGGTCGATCGACGGCCCTTGAACCTCGATCTGACCCGATCATAATTCGTCGATCGATGAGCCTTGAACCTCGATTCGACCACTTCATAGCTTGTTGGGCAACGAGCCTTGGGCGTCTGATTGTCACAGTTCGATGACCGACATATCCTGAGCCTCGAATCAATGTAGCAGCAAATCATCAATTGATGGGCTTTGAGCCTTTATTCAAGCAATGAAGAGCTATGGTAGGGCCCTTCGAGTGACACTGGGATGTAGAAGGGATTTTGGAATGGAGGATAGAAAATTAGTAATGTCTTACCCACTAAGGCAAGACCCAATTTGAGGATAAGAGCAAAGGACAGTTGGAATAGTACAATCGCCTTTACAGCCTGTCATTCTTAGATTATTCAACAGGAAAGGTACACTTGGCAGCTGATCCAAAAATATAAGGATTAGGGCAACATGACCCAAAGAGGCATGATTCTGACTCGCTCTAAAGATGGAGGCCCAATAATGTATCACCTGAATGACCTAGGGCTATAAAAGGAGACAGTGACAAAAAGAAGCGGGTAAGAACTGACGGTAGCTCCTTCCTTACCATTGCTCAAGATTCTCTCTCTGGACTGGTTTTCTCTCCCTTCTTCCTACCCTTCTGCATTCTTCATATTGCTGAGTGGTATATTCCCAAACCTTCTTGACTCTTCCAGGACCAATGCAAAACCAGGTATCTACAAAGTGTAATCGCCTTGTTCTCACAATTTTATTGGTTGCTGAGATTTTATTTACCACATAAGCAACTTAAGTTGACGTTATAGAGAAACTACATCCTTTTTTTGGAAGGATAAATTTGTCTTTCTACTTTTCCTATGGCCTGAAGGGGTAAATTGTAACAAATTCATAGTTCAGGGGAATTTTTTGTAGTTCCGAGGGGTTAGTTGCAAAACTTTTTTTTTTTTGTTTTTGCATTTTACCCTAAAATTTATTTATGCATAACTTTTGATAAAAATAATATCATAATTTATATCTCCCCTCTAGTTGTTCTACAAATATTTTTAATTTAGATTCTTATATTGCTTTTGTTTATAATAAAAAATAAAAAATTATAAATTTATCTAGACCAATTATCATATTTAATAAAGATAAAGACAATTTAAGTAAATTGTAATATTTTTTGGGTAATTTAGAATGACGTACACCCCCCGAGGTTTGGATTTATTATAAACAGGTATAACTTGGCCCATTTTTTAACAATGACACCTTTCAAGTTTAATAAAGTTAACAAAGACACCCAAATGACATTATTGCCTTTTGACTAGTTACTTGACTTATTTAAATATTAAAATTACTTTTTAACCCTCTACAAGTCATTTTATTGAACCAAACTAACCTAGTCTGACAACGTATTCTTACATTAATAAACTAATCAACACCACAACCACTAACAACAATTACCTCAACATTAATTAATAAATTTACACGCATATATAATTACTAGTAATTCAATGAAAATATATCAATAATTGGATTTAAGTAAAAAGAAATCTAATTAGAGAAGGAAATATATAATTTATTTCAATAAATAGATAACAATAATTCTATATCTAAATATATCAATAATTGAATTTCAGAATTTTAGTACATTTATTTATTTAATAATAATAATACTATAGTAGTAGAAAATACTGAAATTCAATAAAAGAAAATCTAATTAGAGAATGAAATACATAATATTAAAAACTTATTTAATAATATAGTAGTAGGAAATCTAATTAGAAAAGGAAATATATAATATTTAAAAATTGACTTACTAAAAGTCAATAAAAAGAAATCTAATTGGAGAAGAAAATATATAATATTAAAAAAATATTTATTTAATTCAATAAAAGGAAATATAAGCATATATAGTAGTAGGAAATACTGAAATATTATAAAAGGAAATCCAATTAGAGATTGAAATATATAATTTATTTATTTTAATAAATAAATATATATTTTATAATATTATTTATATGATAATTAATAATAATGAAAAATTATTCTTATATATTTTTTGATCCTTTACAAATTTATTTATTTATTTATTTTGGATGGTAAAGCAAACATACACATACTTTTTTGCCCACGCTCGGGCTCGAACCCCTCTCCTCTTTTTTAAAGATGAGAAATACCATTAGGCCAAAGGCCCTTTACTTTACCGTTAAACATACTCTTGTACTCACATACATAGCACGTGTATTTACTAATATTTATAAACATTTGTAAATTTATTACTGAATACTGAAATAATTGTTTGCAGTGGTGTGGCTTAGTTTATTAACGTGAGAATATATTCCTTGGTCCAATAAAATTACTTGTAAAAGTTAAAAATGTATTTCAATATTTAAATAGATCAACCAATTAGTGAAAATTAGTCAAATGACAATAATGTCATTAGGGTGTCTTTGTTAAGGTTGCCATTAATAGAAAAAATGTAAATTATCCATATTTTCTATATATATTTATATATATATATATATAATTTTTTTTTTTTTTTTTTCACATTCATATTTCTAGGATGAAGCTAAGTTTGTCCGTATATATCCGTATATATATATATATATATATATATATTGTTAAACCGTATATATATATTTACCTCCCCTAACTCAATTACTTATAATAGTTAAAGTACTATTTTACCCTTCACATTTTATCTTCTTTTATCCTCTCCCAAACCCACAAGAAGACCGCCACCCACCAAGCCGCCCCACCAACCAAGCATCGCAAATAGGAATAGCACCCCAAGAATCCCAATCGGAAACTGACCCAATTTTCTCACAAAAGAGTTCCCAAACAACAGCCCCAAGAACCAGCTTCCACACCCCCAAAAGCACCACAAACACGCCGCTCCGGCCACCGAACCGGTACTGCCCTTCTAACCCTCCGGCACCGTGGCACACCGGCATTGCCCCTAACCCCTCCCCGTCATCCGCGTCGTCCAGCTCTCCCAAGGCCTCTCCTTCGCCTTCTCCGCAATCAAATACGTCCGATACAACCAAGATTTCGTCTCCGGAAAATCGGGTACTTCTCGATGTTGGGTCGGCCTCGACGGCCTTGTACTCGCTATTTGCTCAATTTTGTTTCTTGCACTGTCTACCGGTGCCGGTGAAACACATGACAACGACAAGTACATTCAAATTTCGGAAAACCTAAATAGTTCATCAAATCGCTCTCAACTTCGACTCCGCCGACGATTGCGGATTTTATCGGCAATTCCGACAGCTCTGAATTCTGAATCACCATCAAATAGCCAAGGGTTTCATTTCCAAACCTTAGACTCTGCACTTTTGAATCTTTCGATCGTGAAATCAAAAGACCCATCTCATCAACATCGAAGAAAAAACGATCTTCCTCTCCAATTGATAATCACCATCAGATCAACAACTCCGAGCTGGAGGACTGAGAGGCCCAATTACTTCGCCATTGATTCGACCTCTGAAGCTTCTATAATGAATCTGGGTAGACCCATTGGCTTATAATAACCTTATATATATATAGTGTGCGTGTGTAATTTTTGTGCTGTGTATATAATAAGTTTTATATATTTAGTATAGAGAGAGTTGAATGAGTGAGAAATAGTCTATAAGTCTGAGCTTCGATTTGAAGGAGAGCTGATCTGTGTCTGGGAGGAGAAGAGAAAAATGAGAGGATATTGAAGAAATTTTTTGGTGGTGTTTGAGCTCTCTCCACACTACCACATGTGGCGTAGTTAGGTGAAAATGGTGTTTCCTGTTGTTCGCCCTTTGGATCAACTGTACGTGTCGGTGTCTGACGGGGTTGTGTTCACTGGTTGTGGTGGTGGTGGTGGTGAAGAACAGTGGTGGTGTTTGGCTTGGTTGGTGGCGGAGGCGGCTTGGTGGGTGGTGGTCTTCTTGTGGGTTTGGGCCGGGGTGAGGAGAGGAGGAAAGAAGATAAAATGTGAAGGGTAAAATAGTACTTTAACTATTATAAGTAATTGAGTTAGGGGAGGTCAGAGATAGTTTTGGGTACCGTTCTATTACGAAGTATTAACTTTCAAGTTTCAACCTACCCAAACTATAAAATTGAAGAAAAAATTTCATGATAACCAAAATAAATCTTAAATAATTTTATTTTCTTTTTCTTTAACTTCATTTTTGCTTTCTACCACGGAGTATTAATTTCCTTAAAACCAAAATTTCAGATTTTGAACTAGCAGACTAGCAGTCGATGAACGACCAAACATATACATATTCTTGAGCGATCAACCGTGGGTGATCTCTCTCTCCCTTGTGCGATTGTGACCTGATCGTCCAAGGACGATATTGTGACCGGAGACTTTAGGCTATTTTTCCTCGGAATTCTGGCAATTTCATTCTTCAAAGAGCAGCCGGTAAGCTTCTCTTTCCCTCTATCGATACATACATATATAGTAATATATAGACAAGGTTTGTTATATACATACAGCGTTTTCACAGCACCATTTTGATTCTTTGCATTTTGTTCATATGAGTGCATCCTGATTTATTTGTTCACAGTATTGCATTTTGGCGACCATTTAAATTTATGTGCATTTTTTCATATCAGTGCACCCTGATTTATATGCATCTTGTTTATTTGAATCTTGTACTTGTTCATTGGATTTCTAGTACTTAGTTTAGTTCTTGGGGACATTTTAGATACAGTATATAGAGGGTATAGCATAGTCAGTAACAGGATATATAGGTATAGTGGTAACATCTATTATTACTACTATTATCTATTATTATTAGTATTATTCCTATTATCTATGTAATTATTTATCTAATTTGTAATTTGTAATTTGTTTATGTGTTGATTTGTTCTTTTGATTGATTGATTTTATTTTGTCTCGACTCTCCCATTGCCGGTACCCAAGGCCAGATGTGAAAAGGAGGAGGGTTAGTGTCAGGGCGACAACCAATTGTAAAATTATGTCAAATCATTTTGATGAATTCTCACTCAAATAAGAATACCACAAAAAGTAAGCTGCAAAAAAACTAGGATAGCAACATGGAACATAGGTACATTAACAAGTAGGTGTGACAAATTAGTGGATACCATAAAACAAAGAAAGTAAACATAATTTGCTTACAAGAAACTCAATGGAAAGGGGAAAAGACTAGAGAGATTCAAGATAGATATAAACTTTTTTACTCGGGAGGGAAAGATAATCAACGAAATGGAGTAGGCATAGTAGTAGATTACTACATGAGGGATAAATTCATAGAGGTTAGGAGACAAGGAGATAGACTAATAACTATTAAAATTGTCGTGGAGGAACATATCTTAAACATAATAAGTGCGTACGCTCGTCAAGGAGCATTAGATGACACTTCAAGGACACTCTTTTGGGACTTGTTAGATGAATTGATGCAATCTATACCTAATCGTGAAAGCATATTTGTAGGCGGCGATTTTAATGGACATGTAGGTTTTGATAGGATATGATATACAGGAATCCATGAAGGATATGGTTTTGGAGAGCGAAATGAGATAGGAGAAACAATTTTAGACTTATCAAAAACATATGACTATAGAAGAAGGGAATGGGCATCATGTAAAGACTGTAAAGTGATTCTTGGAGAGAACCTCACAAAGCAACATCACATATTACCTTTAGACATTTTAATTAAAGGGTTAAGTATAAAAAAATGAATAAGGGACATAAAAGTATTAAGTGGAAAGTACTAAAAGGTAGTTAGGCAATCTATGTTGAGATAACCAATTTTAAAGGAAAAGCAATGGGATTGGAATGATGATGAAAATAATTTATGGTGCAAAATGAAAAATTATATTAGGAATAAGGAAAAAGAAATTTTGGGCGAAACCAAAGGCGAGAAATTCATCAAGAAAGAGACATGGTGTTAGAGTGAGGAAGTGAAACAAATAATTAAACAGAAGTGAAAAAGCTTTAAGGCATGGCAAAAAAGCAAACAAATGTGAAGCAAAGAAGATAGTAAACAAAGCTAAGCAAGCTCACTAAATGGCTTATATGAAAAACTAGGCACAAAAGAGGGTGTAAAAAATATTTATAGATTAACAAAGATTTGAGGCCGTGTAATACTCTCTTTGACTAAAAAATGCATCTATACTATATAAATGCTAAATTGGATGCAATCCGAACCAAATGGTTCGGACCAATCTTAATATGGTTCAATGAAATTGGATTAGGGTCTAAGTGGCTCGGACCACTTGACCTATGGTTTGAACCTACTTGGGTTGGGTTCAAGTCTAGAGAGGGAGAGAGAAAAAATTGAATTGAATGAATTGCAAATGGCAGCCCAAGGGGGTATTTATAGAAATAGAAGTGTCTTTTCGGATTGGGTGTGTCTCTTCATCATTGGACACAACCATTTATACGTGTCTCTTCATCACTGGACACAACCACTCCAATTGGTTGCAATGGTTCACATGGTGTTTATTCACCACTAGACACATCCACTCCAATAGGTTGCAATGGTTCACATGGTGTCTGTTCACCACTAGACACATCCACTCCAATAGGTTATGTCTGTTCGTTTTAAGTTGCATCTTTTCATCACATAACCAACCAGTAATCACACTTGTTTAGTCAAAGACATCTATTGATGACTAATCAAACAATTTTCATTCACAATTTCTAATAATCCCCCACATGAATAGAAATTGGCTGCTTAAATGCAAAAGATGATCATGCAGACACTAGAGAGAGTATAGTCGGAAAGTTACTGTATCGGGATAGGTAGCTTTTGGCCTTGAACCTTCCCTAGTGTATTACTATCGGATTTACTAGCTAACCAGTGAACATGATGTCTTGAACTGTTCAGCCGTTGATGTAAACCACGACAATAGCAAACACACTGTTCCCTTCCTCACAGAGTTGGTTCTCATTGTTGTGTTCATTTTGGCCCTGAGCAACTCTTGGTATTCAATGAGGGCTCCAGAAAACTTAGCCTTTACAGTTCTCATAGAAGCAGCCCCACTTCACACTTATATAGGTGACTTCTTATTAAGAGTATCCTACTATACCCCACTTGAATTGTCAAGGTACAAGAGTCATTAAAAGCGTAGCTTATCCTAATCCTTGCTGTAGGTAGCACTGTCTCATCATAGAAATGGGTAGAAGATTTATATCTTCCCAGTGCTTCTGGTGAGTCACTCAGAATTTCTATTGTTCCTTTGAAGCTAGATTTTGGGATCTCCAATCTGCTAGGTTGGGTTTCCATTAAGGTGACTCGTTAGCTTTCGGCTTTAACCCCATTCCATAGTTATTAAAAGCCCAAGGTGCACCGAGGCACTAGAGGTCCCTTATAGCCTAGGCGCGAGGCGCACGGCGAGGCGCGAGCCTGAGTGATGTGAGGCGCACAAGTAAAATTTTAAAACAATAATTCTTAGCAAAAATAACATAATTAAACAATGAGCATCCAATAATAAAAACACTAAATTAGTCTAAATATATCACAATTAAACCAATAAAGCATCCAATAATAGAACAATTAAACTAATAAAGCTATTTATTCATAAGAAAGATTCAAAAGGAGCAAAACATAAGCCAATTAACCATATATTATAAATTTATACTTGATGTCTTAAGCAAAAGCTATCATTTGACTCCAAAACAGATTCATCAAAAGATACTTAGTAGCCTACCAAATTTATAAAGTATCATAGTCAATACTTAACTTAGTAGCCTACCAAATCTATAAACCAAGCAACAAAATATTAGTTTTAGTTTTGAGTTTTGACAAGGACTCCTACAACCAAAGTTACCAAACAATGTTAAGGGACGTAAATATCATCCTCTTCACCAAACAACATAGTCTCATTATCGCCTCCATCAAAAGATTTGTAACCCTCAGCATCTTCTTCCTCTTCTGTCTCCTCAAAGTTTGCCTCGTCATCATCTATGATTTGTAGTGAAGACGAGCATGAAGATGTTGTCCTCTTTGTTGCCCTTGGAGCTGATCTTGATCTTAAATTATGGCTGGACTCTCCAACCCCGGTAGCTCTAGCAACTGCACCCCATGTCAAAGAGCCATCTTCAAACACCAACTCATTTTCAGCATCTACATCTTCATTTATTACTCCAACCAACCACTCATTGCTATCATCTATATCATTTAAAAGGATGGGATCGATCCTATCACGCATGTCATATCGTCGTTTTAGTGCTCTATTATACTTGATGAAAACCAAATCATTCAATCGACATTGAGTTAGCCGGTTCCTCTTCTTGTTATGAAGCTGCATTAATTCAAATAATTAATAACTAATAAGTATAAGTGTATAACTGTTTATAATCTAATTTTTTATCATTGAACTACTAATACTACAAACTTACATGTTCAAATACACTCCAATTTCGTTCACACCCAGATGCGCTACATGTGAGGCTAAGCACTTTAATGGCAAACTTTTGCAAATTAGGAGTTGTAGAACCATATACGGACCACCAATCGGCTGTTATTTACATATTATTAGTAAAAAATTAACAAAATTAAAATTCAAATATACTAAAAAATGATTAATTGACTTGTTTACCTGGTGCTCTTGACTTTCTTTGTCTAATAGCAATTGATGAGCCAAATAGACCATCAGCTTTCATATATCTACTCAACTCCAAAGTAGTTGGAATTAATCTTTCTATGCATTGATATAAACCACCACCCATCACCTCTTCATCTTGCTCAATATTTGGATTGTTATAACAATATTTTGGGTTCAAGAAATGCCCAACTGCATGCAAAGGGCGATGGAGTTGGATATTCCATCTAGTATCAATGATCTTAAAGATGTCCTTATACTTCTCCTCATTCTCACCAAAAGCTTTAGCTATCGCTTCTTTAGCCCTTTCCATAGCCTCATAAATATATCCCATTGGAGGCCTTCTCACAGCATCAACCAACTTAAGTACACGAACAAGAGGACTTGCTACTTTGAGAGAGTACACAATGCTTGTCCAAAATGTAGGCATCAACACAATCTGTGCTACATTTTTCCCTTCTATCTCTTTCGCCCATTTACTGGAGATCCATTCTTGTAAAGTGAACATCTTCCTCAAGCAATCCTTTTGATGATGGATGCTTGATAATGTGATAAATGAAGTGGCAAATCGAGCCGTTGCAGGTCTAAGCAACTCTTTATGTCCAGTATAACGCCTCATCATGTTCAACAAACCCGAACGGTTATAAATATAACCATTTAACATTATAGCTCTCTTTATGGTCATCATTATCTTTGGGATCTTAGCAATGTCCTCCAACATCAGGTCCACACAATGTGCAGCACAAGGTGACCAATACAAATGTCGGTGCCTTCCCTCCAACATTCTCCCTATTGTAAAGAAAGAAAATATGGATTAATAGAAGGCTAGAAGTAATAAACCTAAAATTTCCACATCAAGTACAGATTGAAATTTATACCTGCCACAACATTAGAAGAGGCACTATCAGTGACTACTTGAATCACATTTGATGCTCCAATTTGCTGCACGAACTTGTTAAGCATGTCAAATATTTTTTCACCGGTCTTTGAATAAGAGGAAGCATCAACAGATTGAATGAACATTGTCCCTTTAGGATAATTCACCAGAAAATTAATCAAACACCTGTGTCTTTTATCCTTCCATCCATCTGCCATAATTGTGCATCTGTATCTTGCCCATTCCTCTCTATGATCCCGCATTAAATTGTCTGTATGCTCCAGTTCTTTCTTGAGGAGGGGAACTCTCACCTCATGATAAGAAGGAGGTTTCATTCCTGGACCATGTTGGCTAATAGCTTCAACAACTGGTGCAAAACTATCATAATTAAGGGCATTGAATGATATCCCAGCATCATACATCCATCTTGCAAACCGTTGACATACTCGGTTTTTAAGTTCTTTCTTGTAAGCATTATCAATTGTTGTTTGCTTACCCTTGTCATTTTTTCTATTTTGCACAACTACTTCCGGAGGAGGGGTGAAGTACAAATCAATAGGACCTTTCTGCTTTTGCTTTTTTGATTGAATATTATTGCTACTAGTTCCACTTGCCACTCTTTTACTCTTAACATCAATTATTGTTACATCATCCTCATCTTGATCATCCATGTCATCAAAATCCGGCAACAAATTTGTGTGTTCCTTTTCTTCTTTCTTCTTGCTCATGTATTCTCTAATCTCTTCTTTCACATGTTCATGGCACTTTTTACATGCTTGTACGTTTCTATATCCCCCTACAATGTGTTGCTTAGCCCTATAAATACCTCCTTTCATAACTTTTTCACAAAAATTACATGTTGTTGCATTCCTATCTTGTGGGTTTTGCAGGTGACAGTAATTCCAACCTGGATCCTTTGACATTTTTTCCTATCTATTTACAATGAGAAATAGAATGGAGTCAATGGACCAAGTTAAATTTAGCAAACAAGCATTCAAGCAATTCAGCAATCAGCATTTAGGCACAAACATTCAAAATTTAAATAATGTAGCAAATTCTAGCAAACAGAGCATGTATTTAGTCCACAATAGCAGAGCAGCATTTTAGGCTAGAGAGAAGACTCAGAAAGGAGGGGAAAAAAAAAAAATACAGCGGCCCTACATGAAGAAAAACAGAGACCCAGAAAAAAATAAAAAAACCAAATGAGAGAGAAAAGAGGAGAGGAGAGGAGAAGAGAAGAGAAGAGAAGAGGAGGAGAAGAGGAGGAAAAAAAATAGAGACCCACAAAGAAGGAAATAAAAAAAAATAAAAAACAGAGAAAGAAGAAAAAATGGAGAAAAAAAAAAAAAAAAAAGAGAGAAAAAATAGAGAACCAGGAAAAAAAAAAAAAACAAAAACCAGATGAGAGAGAGAAGAGGAGGAGGGAAAAAAAAATAGAGCTGGAAGAAAAAAAAAAAGAAAAACAGAGACCCATAAAGAAAGGGGGAAAAAAAAAAAACACGAGAAAGAGAAAAAATGGAGAACCAGGAAAAAAACAAAAACAAAAACCAGATGAGAGAGAGAAGGGAGAAGAGAAGAGGAGGAGGGAAAAAAATAAATAAATAAATAAAGCCGGAAGAAAAAAAGAAAAACAGAGACCCATAAAGAGGGAAAAAAAAAAAAAAAAAAAAAAAAAACAGATGAGAGAGAGAAGAGGAGAAGAGAAGAGGGGGAAAAAAAAACTTAAATGAAATTACTACTAACTTGGAAAGTGGTTTCGTTGGAAGGAAGGAGGCAAGACCAGATTCTTCAACTTTTCTTCTCTTCTTTTCTCTGTCGGAAGGAAGGAGGCAAGCCAGTTTCTTCAACTTTTCTTCTCTTCTTTTCTCTTTTCTTCTCTTTTCTTTTTTTCTTTCTTTCTCTCTCTTCTCTTTCCTACTTTTGAGTTTTGACTTTCCCACTTTTGACTTGGGTTAGTGGGCATTCCACGTTTCTTCTGCAGCCAGCTTGATTTGAGATGACAAAATTCTTTATTTTTTACTTTTTAAGTTTCCAAAGCTTTAAGTTTCCAAAGCAATATATATATATATATACACTAAATATAATAATATAAATAACAAACAATCAAACAAAGATCATATATGCTGCGTAATACATGAGGCGCACTTAGGCGCGCCTTATACAAGCTCCAAGGCGCAACCCAGGCGCGCACGTAGTGGAGGTCGCTGCGCCTGGGCTATTGTGAGGCGCCACTGTTGCGCCTGTAGGCGCCTTGCGCCTAGGCACGCTTTTGACAACCATGCCCCATTCCCATCGATGATCTGTACAATTGCTCTCTAGTCCAACCTTAATTTTATATGTGGCCACAAGGTTGTGTTTAGAAATATTAGATATATTAACTAGATGAAAGGTTATTATCAAAATCTATTAAAAGAGGAATAGCCTTGAGAAGAGGTAGAAGGAAATGAATTTAACACACTAACACAGGGGTACTAAATAAAATCACCAACAAAGAGTTAGAGGACACACTAAAGAAGATGGGGAGTAATAAAGCATTAGGCTCGGATCATATACCCATAGAGGCTTGGTGAAATTAGGTAATGTAGGAGTTGAGTGGCTAACAAGGTTGTTTAACAAATTACTAAAACAAGGCATAAAATAATGCCAAATGACTGGAGGAAAATTACAATTATTCCAATTTTTTAAAATAAAGGCAACATACAAAATTGTGGCAACTATAAATGAAATAAATTAATGAGTCATACATTGAAAATATGGAAAAAGGTAATAGAATAACGACTAAGGAAGGAGTCCACGGTATCTGATAACCAATTTGGATAGATGATGGGGAGATCAACAATGGAAGTTAAATACCTACTTAGACAATTAGTTGAAGACTGTAGGATTAAGCAACAAGACTTACATATGGTTTATATAGACTTAGAAAAGGCATATGCTAGGGTCCCAAGAGATAATTTGGTGGTTTCCATAAAGAAAACAAATTCCCTTACAAGTCATAAAAAGTATCCAAGATATGTATATAAATACACAAATAAAGTTTGTACGTGTGGGGAAACTAGTGAGTTCTCCATAAATGTAGGATTGCACCAAGGCTTGGGACTAAGGCCATATCTATTCGCAACAATCTTAGATGAAATAACAAATGACTTTCAAAACGAGATTCCATGGTGCATGATGTTTATAGATGATATTGTGGTACTTGGTTTCTCTAAGGAGAACTTAGCAATAAAACTAGAAATGTGGAGAAATGTTTTAGAATCGAAAGGGTTGAGCTAAAACCAAGTACATGGAGTGTAAATTTAAAAAGGAGTCGGATATTAACAATATAATGATGACACTTCAAAACCAAACAATTACTCAAAACAACCACTTCTGTTACTTAGGATCGATAATACAAAAAGGATGGAGAGATAGATAGTGATATAACTAGTGGAATTGGAGCTGGGTGGACAAAGTGGAGACAAGTTAGTGGCATCTTATCTGACAAAAGGATGACACATAGCCTAAAAAAGAAACAAGAACAACGCCTTCAAATAGCAGAAATGAGAATGCTAAGGTGGATGATTGGAGGACTAGAAGAGATAGGTTCCTAATGAAAGTGTAAGAGGAAAATTAGGAGTTGCTCCCATTAGTGAGAAAATTAGAGAGAGTAGACTTAGATGGTTTGGACATATACATTGGGGATCAGATGCGCCAGTCAAAAGAGGAAGACTAGTTGTCATAGAAGGTATGAGACGGAGAGGGAGACCAAAAATATTATGGGATGAGATCATTAAAAATGACTTAAAAAAGTTAAATATAGTAAGTGAAATGGCATGTAATAGAAAGGATTGGGAGACACAAAATTAATGTGGCCAACTTCATTCATATGGGATTAAGGCAAGAACGATGACGACGATGGATCTCCTGTGCTGAAAGTTTGCTGACAGGATTGACCTTATTGTAATATTAGGTCGGGTTTGTGGTACGAGAGGAATAGGAGATCCTTTGAGGGAGAGGGGTCTCCTATTTGGTCTCTTAAATTAAATATTCTATCTTTTTTATTCTTTTGGGTCAATGGGCGAGATTGTAATTCTATGGATTGTCTTTTGGATTTTGTTGATAGCTTAAAGTTATAGTGTCGTCCTAGTCTGTTTCCTTTGGGAGCGCTCCCCTTTTGAGTGCCTTTAATGAAATCTTACTTACCAAAAAAAAAAAAAAAAAAAAAATTTAATTGCTGTAATTGTACACATAAAACCTTTTTTGAACTTTATGTTTATGAAAACTAGGGTTGAGAAACTTTCTATACACGTATAAAGCATAATTTTTCAGTAGCATCAAGGCCCTCAAATAAAAATCCAAAGTCAGGCTAACTGCAGCAGTTTTCCAAACACAGAACAGTGTATGGGCCTTTTGCTTAAGTCATATAAATCAGAAAACAGAATAACAATTTGTGAAATCTTCCAGAAACAAAGTCTGGTTCAGTATACAAAACAGGGGAAATGGGATGATCCAGATTTATTGCAGCTTTCCAAGAATTTCAATGTTTGAGCATAAACTTTTAAATATAATTCAGAATATCTGAAGAATAGTAATATTTATCATTACAAGTCTCTAGAACCGCTAGAAAAGAATATTCCAAACCACCTATAAACTACCTTATAACTTATTCAGTAGATAAAATTAAAATAAAAAGTTTCTACTGAAAATCTCCAATCTAGATAACTCTTGCTTCCAAATCGTCCTATCCTATTTCTTAAGAAGCCCGGTGCGAAAAGTACCAAATCCATGATGAAGGTAACACAACAAGAAGTAATAATCAAGTGAACGATCTAATTCATGTCACAAATAACATGGAAGAAAGTACAACATCAATATTATTCATTTGTGATGTGTGGTCTTAAGCAATTATCTTTCATCTTAATATTACCCTGTAGTTCTTGGATGCAGGGTGAGTTCTTTCCCTATTCCTTATTTGGGTTTGCCCCTAGGGGTCTCTTCAAGGTTAGTGGGGAGTTGGGATTTTGTGATTGATAGGTATGCGAAGAGATTGGCAAGATGGAAGAAGCAATACTTAGCCAAGGGAGGTAAAGTTACTCTTATTAAGAGTACATTATCGAGCCTTCCCACTTATTTTCTTTCTATGTTCTAAATCCCTTGTTCCGTTGCAGATAGGATTGAAAAAATTCAAAGGGATTTCCTATGGGGAGGAAGGGGCGATGAGTTCAAGTACCACCTTGTCAGATGGGAGCAAGTTTGTAAGCCTGTGAAATTAGGTGGACTTGGAATAAGATGTTTAGTTCCTTTTAATCAAGCTCTCCTGGGTAAATGGTCATGGAGATATGGGAGGGAAAGACATCGTCCATGGCGCAGGTTAGTCTCTTGTCGGTTTGGGGAAGAGGCTGGAGGTTGGTTTACACGTCCGGTTACCCTTGTGGGAGGAGTAGGGATGTGGAAGGCTATTCGGAAGGGTTGGGATGCTTTTTTTGCTCATATCAGATTCAAAGTCCGTGATGGATGTCGCATTCGGTTTTGGGAAGATCTTTGGTGTGGTGATCAGCCACTATCTCGTACATTTCCTAGATTATTTAGTATTGCTGTTGATAAACACGCCTACGTAGTTGACTGTTATTGGCTTGATAGCAGCGGGATTACGTGGGATGTGCATTTTCGGCGCTCTTTTTAGGATTGGGAGATGGACAAGGTATGTGTTTTTCTGGATTTTCTATATCGGCAGGAGGGCGTTGGCAGAGATAATGACGATTTGATTTGGGTTCCTTCTTCCCATGGTCGTTTCGAAGTAAGATCTTTGTTCTTATGTTTGTCTAATTTTGTTAATCGAGACTTCTCATGGAAAATTATTTGGCGGTCCATGGCTCCAACTAGGGTGGCTTTCTTTGTCTGGACCGCTGTGTGGGGAAAGATTCTGATAATGGATAACTTGAGGGAAAGGGGCAATTGTATTGTTAATCGGTGTTGTCTATGCAAGAATGATGAAGAGTCCGTTAATCACCTCCTTTTGCATTGCCCTGTGGCAAACGACTGTTGGAATCTTATTGTTGGGTTGTTTGGCATGTGATGGGTAATGCCTCGATCTACTAAGGAATTAATCCATGTTTGGAGAGGATGTCGAATGAGAAGAGATGTTCGCGATTTCTGGAGAATTGTCCCACATTGTGTATGGTGGTGTATTTGGAAGGAGAGAAATAGCAGAATGTTCGAAGGGAAAGAGTTGCCTACGGCAATGGTTAAACTTTACATTCTTCGTTCTCTTTTTAATTATGTGAAGATGTGCTTTTGTCCCTCTTTTGATGATTTAATTACTTTCTTGGATTCTCTGGGGCCTTAGTCCCGGTTCCACTTTTGTAATTGGGACGCGTTCCCCTCTTGATCGCCTTTTTTTAACGTTATTTTTACTTATAAAAAATATATATATATATATTACCTTTAAAGCGTCATCATCTCTTGAAATTTCCAATCATTATTTTCTCAAAATTAATGTTGGAAAGAGTGTGATTGTCCCAGTGGGGAATGTTCTAGATATCTCCTCCTTAGCTGCAGTTCTTGGGTGTGGAGTGGATGTTTTTCCACTTCCTTATTTGGGACTGCCTTTGGGAGTTTCCTTCAGGAGAGTGGGGAGTTGGGATCTGGTGATCAACAGGTATGAAAAGAGATTGGCAGGATGGAAAAAACAGTATCTCTCGAAAAGGGGGAGGGGGAGGGGGAGGGGGTGGGGAAGGCCACTTTTATTAAGAGTACCCTCTTGTCCCTTCCCACTTATTTTTTATCTTTGTTTCAAATTCCATGCTCTGTCGCTGAACGGATTGAAAAAATTCAGCATGACTTTCTTTGGGGTGGAAGAGGAGAGGAGTTCAAGTATCATCTTGTTAATTGGGAGCAAGTTTGCAAACCTTTGAAATTTGGTGGTTTAGGCCTTCGGAAGCTCGTCCCTTTCAACAGAGCTTTATTGAGTAAGTGGTTATGGAGGTTCGGTAGAGAGCGTCATCATCAGTGGAGAAGAGTTGTCTCGTGTCGATTTGGGGAGGAGAGTGGGGGTTGGTCCTCTCATCTTGTTTCTGTCACGGGAGGCGTTGGCGTGTGGAAATTCATTCGGAAGGGTTGGGATGTGTTTTCCACCCACATTAGATTCAAAGTTCGCAATGGTAGGCATGTTTGTTTTTGGGAAGACTTGTGGTGTGGTGATCAGCTGCTGTCTCTTTCCTTTCCTCGCCTTTTCAGTATTGCCGAAAACAATCATTCTTACGTAGTTGATTCTTGTCATCTTGATAGCAGTGGGGTTACGTAGGATGTGGGTTTTAGGCGCTCTTTTCAGGATTGGGAGATGACAGAAGTGTGCGCTCTTTTGGACTTATTGTATAGACAGTAGGATGTTGGCAGAGGTTGTGATGATATTCTGTGGGTCCCTTCCACTCATGGTAGATATGGAGTACGATCCATGTTCTTGTGTTTGTCCAAGGCCAAGATTTCCCTTGGAAGTCTATTTGGCGCTCTAAAGCTCCTCTTAGAGTTTCATTTTTTGTTTGGACTGTCACCTGGGGAAAATTTTTGACATTGGATAATTTGAGAAAGAGAGGTAATACCATTGTGAACAGATGGTGAGTTCGTGGATCACATTCTTATGCATTGTCCTGTGGCGTATGATTGTTGTAATCTTATTTTCAGTATTTTTGGTGTTCAGTGGGTGATGCTTGAACACTCTTTTCAATTAATCAACGCATGGAGAAGATGCCAAGTTAAAGGTCATGCACGTGATTTTTGGAGGATTGTCCCACATTGTGTTTGGTGGTGTATCTTGAAGGGAAATAATCGACTATAGCTAATTTAAAATCTCATATTCTCCGTTCTCTTTTCTGTTATGTTAGAGGAAGTGCTTGCTCCTCGATTGCTGATTATTTTGACCTTCTAGATTCTATTGGTCCTTAGGGCTTTTGTTCTTGTGTATTACGGACGCGTTCCCCTTTTGAACGCTTTTCTAATATATTTTACTTACCAAAAAAAAAAAATTTATTTTCTCAAAATTTTCTGTTACTGTACCCGTTGCGTGTTTGGAAGTTTTCTCAATATGTTCATACACATAAAAAAAAAGGGCCGAAACTTCTGAAGATGTTTTCTGCAGGAGGATCATATGAGCAACAAGCCGATTTTTCAGTTTAACCCCTCAGAGTGATTTGCTACCTCTTAAAAGTAGAAGAAATAGAGGGGAAAGGTAAGAGAATTAGTGGTTTGTCCATCTTTCATATAGCCAGTGACTTCCCATTTCTAGTCACATAATAAGTTAGTTCATTGCCCCTTTTTCTATCCAATATATTTTCAAAACACACGAGGGGTTTATTTCTCTCTCAGTCATCCAAACAAGAGAAATAATTATGGTACTACATTTCCTTTCATTCATTTTTTATCCTAATTAGTAATATACGAATATCTTTCCCTTTCCTTTCTCACTTGTTTATCCAAATTCATGCAATGCATTCTGTTATGGTAAATAACTTCAAACGGAAAAAATAACATATATCATTCCATTTTTATTTATTTATTTATTTTGTCTTTCTGGTTGGTGGAGGATCTGATTATGGTTTAGGAATGTGGGACTGAAGAAAACAATTAACAGTGGGTTTATTTGGTGGTATTTTGTTTGTAAGTGTGGTTTTAGCATGGGAAAAGTTGATGGTCAGGTTGTGCGATGAAGATGGTGGGCTGGTTAGGGCTTCATGACAGTGAGGTTTGGGCTGATCTGTTGAAATTACTTGAGGCTGCTATGATGGTGATAGATGAACAATAGTTGAACTGGGTTTGGATTATGTGAATGAAACGTAAAAGCATGCTTAGATCTTTAGCTCTGAACTTGGATCTTTTGCCCTGATACCAAACTAATATATAGCGGGAAGAGAAGGAGAGAGAAAAGAAGAATTTGGGGGAGAAGAAATCCGAAATCAACAACGCATTATTATACAACAATACTTAATTGAATAAATATGCCGAGGTATATGGAGGCAATCCAAGGATTCAAAGAACCTAGTGTCCAAGATAGCTGTCATGAACCCTAATGAAACATGTAGCTGTGCCTATGCTTAGTGCTGGAAAATAACCATGCTCAGTTCAACAAAAATGTAAGACAAAAAACCTTATTCATAGGCAAACAGGGACTTTTCTTTTTTATTGTTTCCCTTAATGGGAATGATCAGTTTTACCTTCCCATATGTAATGATCACTGCTCTTGTAATTGTTGATAAGCAGTTTTACTAACTCAGTTTTACCTTATTTTAGTTGGAATGACAAGCAGCAAATCAGACAACATTCTAGCAGTCGAGAAGAATGATAAAACCCTGGAGAATCTGGAGAAGTGTGAGAATGATGTAAGACAAATGGCTGAAAATGGTAGATTGTTGCCTCTTCAGACCCCACTCCTTGAAGGTGCTTGCAATATCCTTAATAGTTCTTTGCTTATTTGCTTGCAAAGAAATGGTAGTTATGTTTGTGTTTCTTCTTCTTCTTTTTCCTTTTTTTATTTTCTTTAAAAAAAAAATCTTTTTGGTTATCAAGGGGGTCTATGCTTGGTGCAATGATAAAAACTTTGGTTGACAAGCTTGAATAAGCGTGTTCGAGTTAATAACAGCCACTTAGTACAGAAGATCGAGAACGCATATGTTGATTGAAGAGCTAGGAAGCACGGATAGATACTTCAAAACACATAATTAACTTGTTTTGAGCATTAAAATGACAATAATATCATAGGATAGTTGGTAAGAGAAGTTTAAAATTTTTTTAAAAAATAAATATTGATATATTGATATCATGATTTAGTCTATACATTATAACTCTTAGCTCTTATTTCGGTTGTTAATCGTAATATTTTTTTTTTGGATAAGTAAAGATATATTAGAAAGCATTTAAAAGGGGAACGCATCCCGAACACTACATAAAGGCTGGATCCAAAAAAGGGGGTCCTACGAAGGAACCCAAAAAATTAACTATCTCCTCTATATATTTACAATTTCTCCCCATCACTCAACTAAACAGAGAGTTAATAATAAGAATTTTGAAAGCCCAAATGGAAGATTCCTCGCCATCAAAGGATATCCTGTTCACCTCCTTCCAAATGCACCAGTAAATGCATAAAGGTGCCGCCCTCCAAAAATCACTAGCGTGGGCTCCCACGAAATATCCTCTCCAAGCGTCAATCAAACCGAGGCATGACCTATTGGGTGCCAAACAAGCCAAAAATAAGATTCCTACAGTTGTGAGCCACGGAGCAATGCAAGAGGAGGTGATCCACGGACTCTCCATCCCTCTTGCACATGCAACACCAATTGACAGTAACTTGTCTCTCCTCAAGTTGTCAAGCGTCAAGATCTCGTCCCAAATTGCAGTCCAAACAAAGAAGAGAGAGGGAGGATAGGGGGTAAAAGACCAGTGCCCCTTGGACATTATAGTGGAAGCTTCACACTGTTACTGTACATGGGAACAAAAAACTAGTATATTTTGTTATAACTAAATTTTAGAGAAAATTATCGATAAGTCACACTTTTCCATTTTATGACAAATAAGCTCTTTCAAGTTTCCATAAGACCAGTAAATCCTACTTTTGATAATGTTTCCATATTAGTTCTAAGTCTCACAAATTTCTAGTTTTACCCTGTATAATATTTTTTTTAGATTTTATTTCATTTTTATTTTTTGTTTAAATATAAAGTTATATATATATATATATATATATATATATATATATATATATATATATATATATATATATATATTCAAGTGTTAGTAAATTAATGGATATTACATTATGAGATTAAATTTTAATTAACTTGACTTTAGTTCAATTTAGAAATTTTTGCATAGAATTTTGTTCTGGCTAAAATTTTGCCACAAATTCAAAATTACCATAAAAAAAGTCAATAAAATATTATAATTTCTTTTTATATAAAAAATTGAATCATTTTTTACAATAAAAATGTAAAATAATTATTTAACAATTAAAATTCATAATAAGGTAAAAAGTCCAACTGTTATGCTAGTGAAAATAATATTAAGCACGTTTCAATAGTCACCCCAAAATAAAAAATAAATAATAAATTGAATAAAGGAAATCGAATTGATGATCCTTTGATGGGGAGGAGATTTTTTTTTTCCTAGTTGGTACTCACACACACTTGTCTCTTCTGAGACTTGAACCCCTAACCTCCCTTTGGGAGGTAAGAGGCTGATACCGCGAGGCCACTGGCCCGTTGGTATGGGGAGGAGATTTCAATATGGGTATTGAAAATTTCTGTACTTGGTTTATTCTTTTGGGTATAGGGAGTATATTGTAAATTGGTGGGCGATATAGTAGAGTTTGTAGATACTTTGACAGTATAGTGGGCCCTCTTGGCCCTTTTTATGCTCGAGATGCGTTCTCCTTTAGAGATCTCTTCAATGAAATTTTACTTATTAATTTTTTGTTTTTTGTTTTTTTTTTTTTTTGTTTTTGAATAAAAAGTATAATTACAACATTTTAGTAATGTTTTGGTACGGTTATAAATAGAATATTGTCTTATTCGAACTTATATAGGAAAATGTTTCAACAGTAGTTCTTACTATTCTTACTTAAATTTGATAGGACTTATTAGACTTTAAAAGGGTAAAGTGGGATCTATTGGCCATTTTCTATTTTGACAAAGAAAATTCCTAAGATTGACATTAATAATTGAATCATGGACAGGAAGAGTTAGTCGATATTTGTCTGAAGAATTATTGAACGATGAAAATCCAAGAAATATATCCTAAATTTTCTATTTGAGATGCTCTTTCTTCTAAATAGAAGCTATATGAAAGGTAAAACTATTTTTCATTTGATAATTCATACTTAAATCGAGGTTAGTACATAATTCTGTAATGGGTGCCATTGCAGTCAGGGAACGCGTTAAAATAGTTAGTTCTAGCATTGAGGGTGTATAGACTCTAAAGGGAAGATACACTTCAATATTTGTCTAGCCTTTTCTTTTGCATACCACAAAGCCAGGTTCTTTACCTCAGAATATAGAAGGAATAGTTTTGGATGTATACATGATTATCCATGAAGCCGCATCCACATCCCCTCCTCCCCCCACCAATATTTGAAGTTCAATTTTTTTTTAAATGTTCAGTGAAATTATGTGCTGTGCTTTGTCGATTCTAGCCTATTAAGTCAGCACCCCACTTTGTCTAAGAAGCAAATTAGGTGTCTGAGTAGTTTTTGGACAAAATTTGACACATGGTAGAAGGGAGCATGGTAAAAATTGACTGTTATCATCTTGGAGAATAATTGCTAAAAGAAGGATAAGATAGAATACAGTTAGCCATATACTTGTGTTTTCTGCTTTGTGATTCAGTAGGTATTGCTATTGCAGACTTGAATTCATTATTTTTTAGTTATGTTTTGTGTTTTTTAGGTGTAGTTGATTGCTGGGGTATGCACTAGTCATCTTTTCTCATTTATCTCTCTGGTTTAGAGTTGTTGAGCCTATAGGCTTTCCTATGTACTTTATTTCACTTGTATCAATAAAAATACCACATTCAGGAAAAATTAAAAAAAGGAATGTTGCATATCTTATCGCGTAGATAATATGGATAATTAGTTCATGCGTTCATGGAAAGGTATGTCTTTCCTACATATAATACGAAGTGTAGGATCACTTTCGACTGTGTGTGTGCTCGTTCGTGTGCCTTTGTTTTGGTAAGTGTATGCTGGACAACTAGTCCCCAACTTGAATTGGTAATAACTCCTGCTTTACAACTTAATAAAACTAACAAGGTACAAAATATATATATATTTTTTGATAAGTAATAAGTATATTAGAAAAGCGTAACAAGGTACAAAATATTATGGGATGAAGGAAACAGAGCCTTTGATGTTTCAATATATATTGTATTTATAAAAGTTCCCTTCATACACTTGAAGATGCTACAATGGATGATAGGAGTAACTGGAAGAGATGAGATTAGTGATGGAAAACTAGGAATAGTGTCTATTAATAATAGAAGTAAGGAAAGTAGCTAAGGTGGTATGGTCATATACAATGTACACCTGAAGCTGAACGGCTTAGAAGAGAAAGTGTGGTTTGCCTAGAAGGTAAGCGACAAAGAGGCCGACCATAACTTATATGAATGAAGTAATTAAAAATATTTTTTAAAAATTAAATATTAGAAGAGATATGGTATATAATAGAAAAGAATGGAAAAAAGAATTCACGCTGCCGCCCCCATCCATATGGGAAGGATGACGATGACATAGTAAATATATTGAAATAAGATGAAGAAATTTACGAATTCTTGTAATGCTATCAACTCTTTTATAGTTCTGCTAGCTGACCTTTCTGATAATTTGAAATCATCCCAAATGAATTAAAGATTCTGTCATGACACAATTGGGGCTCCTTTTTTTTTTTTTTTTTTTTGAGAAGTAAAATGTTTTACCACAAGAATCGAACCGTGGCCCATACACACTTGGGGCTCCTTGAATAGGGAAATATGGTTTGTACAAGGTGCTAAGCCAGAAGTGTGGAATCATGATTCAATATAGCGGTTTGCCATCTTTTGTTAAAAATTTCTGCCAGTAAAGCCTCAAATACTTCCTATTCTATATTTTTCCTCTGTAGATAAATAAATTTCAGTGATTGAAGATTGCGACAAATTTACAGACGATATATGCAAAAACCTAGCCTTACATATCCTTAATTTTATATTTTACAAAAATTCAAAAATGTGACACCCCTGCAATCCAAAAGCTAAGGGAGCTTAGATGAAAGTTATCAATGTATTAATGGTATTAATGGGCATATCCGCTGATGTTGTTTTAAAATTAACTCGCAAGTGCACGAATCTATTGAAGTATAGATAAGCAAGAGAGAGGTCGAACCCAAGAGAATGCTTTGATAAAAACTAATGCAAATCTAAATTAAATTAAAACTAACCTAGTTACCCAAATTGATTGTAGAGTGAAAATTATAATGAAATTAAAATAAAATAACGAGAATAATATCAATAGGGTAAAAGTACTAAGGTTTCGGATTCCACCACCATTAATTCCATAAAGTTCCAATCATCAAGTTATCAATTCCCTGACTAGCAGAAGCAATTCGGAAGTCATTCCATTGCTTTCAAAATATTTTGTCATTAAACTCAAGTAAAAATATTTTCAAAACTAGATTTTCCTTCGCTTACATGTTATGAAATCCTAACCATCCTATGTATTCTACTTAATGAAAAACATAAGATCAAAGATTATTACTTTTTGAGGGCGTAGAAATGGAGATTTGTATATAAAGATAATAGAGATACAGAGAGAGAGAGAGAGCGAAAGAAAGCGAGTTTGGGGCTCAGCCCATATTTTCTATATATCTCTAACCCTAAAACATAAAGGGGGGTTTTATACAATACAAGAAAGGCCTATT